GTGAATCTGAAGTCAATGGGGGTGTTTGACTGTTTGATGAAGGAGGAGAGAACAAGCGTATGTGTGTGTGTGTGTGTGTCAGAGAGCTGCCTCCCATTGTCCTGTCCCTCAGGAAAACAGACATGCAAGCCTTGCAATGTGGCTGTGGGCTGCAAGGGACACTCAGACAGAGCTGTGATGGAGGTTGTAAACTCTGAGGGAGCAGAGGTGCACTGAAATGATTTGCTGAGTCATGATGACAGTATTGACAGGGGGGACAAATGAGGAGATAATAATGATGGATATTGGGCAGAGTTGGAGCATAGGCTGTCTGTGGCATGCACTGGGCTCTCTTTGTAACTTGTTGAAGCCTGATCCTGTGACTTCACTGCTGTACTGAGAGAATGTGTGCTACACATTTCAACCAGGAAGGTACTCCCACGCCTAAAGCACTTTGTCATGGCATACAAAGGGATCGCTTTAGTGGTGCTGATATCAGGTATCAGTGCAAAAAAGAAAATAAAAATGTTATCTCAAAAAGCAAAATGAAAGATGTAAAAGAAGTTGCCACAAAAATAAGAAATGCTTTCACTCACTGTTTTAGACTGATAAAGCCCCTGGTGCACTTGTGCTGCAGGTTGTTGATGGGCCCTGGGATGCAGCTGACCTGTGGTTTGCTGGTAGGCTCCCTGGTGTAGCTGCGTGGATGTTTGTGTGTAGTTTTCATGAGAGGCCTGTGCTGTGAGTTGCTGGTAGGGCCCCTGGTGCAGTTGAGAGTCAGCCTGTGCTGGAGGACTGTAGATCATTTGAGCTGTGGAAATGGGCTCTGAAAGTGACTGGTATGGGCCATTTTGCTGATTATTTAGGTCATCTGATTGCATGGTAGGGCTCATTCCACTGTCAGCTGTAATAACAGAGTGAATAAAATATTATAATTCACAGTGGTACTCTCTGCAGGAAGGACATACACTGAGGAAGGACGTGGGAGAACACAGTAGAGGAGTGTCTCATTAAAATTCAAAAGCTAATATGTGTTACTCAGACACTGCAGACACTTTTTTCTGTCACTCTCTTCACTCATTCAGAAATAGCAGTTTAAACATTTTTAGTCATTGCCTGTTAATGGCTGAGGGTGTATGATATACGATACATTAATGTGTGTTTCTAATTGCAGATTCTCACATGTGGCAGATGTGATGGCTGGCACAGTGCAGACTAGGGTCTGCTGCTCCACTTCTTGGTCTTCATAATCTGTTGTAGATAACGTGGCTTCCTGCGGTACACCAGTACTGGGCACCTGGAGTAAGTTCTGATGCACTTTTTTCGAGGCTACCTCACCATTTCCTGGGGAGACAGTCCGCTCCCTCCTCCATTTGATGAGAGCCACACGGTCCCGAATAGACTTCCCAACTATCTTCACATCACAGTCCAGGAAAAACCCTGATTCCACCTGCAGGACACAGGTAAGATACTCATTGTAGATCAGAGCAAATGACGGAAAGGTTGTAATTCAACACCTTATGACTTGTCCTGCCCTCCATGAGTTTGCATGAAAGTCCAAAGATCAGACTCAGTTTCAATCAATACAGAACCTATCATTACAGACACTACATTACAGACCCCTGACCAGCTCCTAGTCACATTAATGGGCCCAAGGTTGTGTTCCCAATTAATGACAAGTGCATTATTACAAGACAGGTCTACATGCAATTACGTATAATGGAATGACACCACATAGGTAATAAATCAACAAGTTGTTCTGATACAGTAAATCACTACTTTGTGTATTAATGTGCATATACCACTTAACACAGGCAAAAAGAAAAATCATCTTCAAATCACTATCAGGTTTTTCAGTTTGTCTGTAGCTAACTAAACCCATGATTAAGCTCATTTTACCAATGAGAGTTACCTACAGTAGTAACAGGCCTCAAAGCAGAGATATTGTTGCTATTGCTGGTTATTTGTAGCTGAATACTTCTTACATATTGAATTAGCACTATTTTAGAAGTGTTTCAGGATTTTAACAGGCACCTGGCTACCAATCAGAAATGAATATTTTCCAAAGCTGTGGCTGAGTTGACAAAAGAGCCTGTGAAATGCAAAGGGGTTTAATGGTTTAAAGAAAAAGTCAAACTGTTCAACTGTTGCCTGTTTATATTCAGCAAATACGTGATTCTTTCAGTAACTCAAAGTATTTTTTTACCATTTCTTGGGCGACAACCTCTGGGATCTCGTTCACCAAATCAAATGTAAACTCAATGGCTCCAGTGTCCTTGTATTTCCCCTTGAGCTTTTTTGGATCTTCGACCCACAGCTTTAGAGCGATGGATGATTTCTTCCCATCATCTTCTTCATTGAGCTCCACTCTCACGCCTGTATCCTCTGCAAAGAAGGCATGATTCAGGAGGTCCTTGATGGAGTACCTGTAGGAAAAACACAACTAGGTAATGACCTGCACTACAGGCCACAGTGACATGAAACCTAATGATGCACAACACACAGAAACAGCCACTGTGTCAGAGCCTAATACCAGCATTAACACCAGCGAGAAAAAAAAAGCCAAGGCAATAAGGTAAGGATCAACCTCTACCTATATACAAAAGGCATCACAAGTCATGAGACTGTCAAGGTCCTGGTCCACTTACCTTTCTTCCCATCTATGACAGATGCACTCCCCAATGATTTCTTTGATTTCTGGGTCACTGACTTTACTATAGCTGGCAGGTTTCACCCCCTGAAAAACAAACCAGTATTAACATACAAAACAGAGGAAATACATCTGCAGCACCAAGACATGAATTACAGCCAACCTAAAACACTTTATTCTCTATAAGACATCTCAGCTATGGCAATTCAGGAGCTGCTGTTGTACAGGAGGACACCTGGAGTGCTAGAATGATTAACTGAGGGAATAGTTTATCCACAAAAAAATAATGTAAAACTAATAACATATAGCAGTCATAGAATAAAAATACAATTCTCTGGTTACAGTAGGACTGCAACTTTTATACAAAGGAATAATGTATTCTACCTCTTACAAATGAAAAGCTGAATTTATTAAAAGTAAAATGTATTTTCTCACCATTCAGAACACTAAGGGGTTTTGCTGCTATAGCCTTTACTCACACTGGTGACTTTGCGGTAGATCTGTGCAGCATTTTGACACTCGGAGTAGGGGTATTCTGAAGTGGCCATCTCCAGCATACACATCCCAAAGGCATAGACATCCACAGCCTCATCATAGTGCTCTTCATACATCTCTGGGGCCATGAACTCTGGGGTGCCTGGAGAATTGATACATGAGACTGATCAATTATGAGCACACATGCGGTCATCATGCTATTTTACTGAAATGAAGAGCAACATCGATGAATGAAATTTGATATGATTGCTAAACAATCATTCTAAATATTCTGTTAAGATATTCTGTGCAAGTTGTCCACAATAAAACAGTGTTGCTCTTAACGTTAACCAATTTGAGAAAACTTTGTCCAAACCATATTGACTTATAGTAAACAGTGCTTAATGAGAACAAACACTATAGGCTACAGGGTATCTTAATGTATACTCACTGTATATCCTTTGAAACTCACACCAACTAACATACATATAGGTTTGTAGTTTGTGAAAACTAACCAAAAGAACAGAAAACTGCCATATTAATAGTATTTTCAGCAATCTCCATACACAGATCAAAACTAACTGCTTCTACTCGTGGTTAATGTCTATCAGTGTGTCAGTCCTGAATTAGCTTGTTTGTGCATGCGATAGACCTTCATTGTTGTTCAAAAACAATTAAAAACACATTAGGGAAACACACTGCTGCACTGGCTGACAAGTAATTTTCATTACAAAACCCCAGACCCAACTATGCTGCCCCAAAGGCTCAGAGTGGCCATAAATTCCTGAAGTTAGCACTAGTCACAGTCAACTGTGCATTTGCAAGGTCCTGCTCGAGCTCTCTGCTTTGTTTACATTGTGCTAGCTCCCCGTGCTTGGGTCTGGGGTTTGCTAATGAGGATATAGGTCACTCATTGCAGCGTTGTCTTTCACTGATGTGTTTTCAATCATTTTTTAGCGGAGGTCTATGGCACAGACGAATAAGCTAATCCAGAACTGACAGGCTGACTGACGTTAACCGTGAGCACAGTCTATTTATTGTTGGTTTTAGCGTCTGTATAGGGAGTGTTGGAAATACTGTTAATATAGAAAACGACCAGCCTTATCCTTTAAGAGTCAGATATTTCCTCAGGAGTTAGTAGAGACCAAAACAGCAACAGCATCAAGGTCCCATTTAATTTAAACAGTGATAATATGTCAGTGTTGTATTTACTGTCTGTTGCCACTGCCTCCGAGTGCCTAAAAAAATCTGTTATTGCAGGTGTTAAATAAATATTCTGTTAGTTATTATTCAATAAACCAGCATCTCTCCAACTAGCTCATGACTAACCAATAACACTTTTAGCAAAGGAGGCCCTCTTCAGTGTTGCCAGGCCCAGGTCGCCAATTTTGACAGAGCCTGTAGGACCAGTGATGAAGATGTTGTCACATTTGAGATCTCTGTGGATGATTGGAGGAGTCCTGGTGTGGAGGAAGTGGAGGCCTTTAAGAATCTGTCTGCACCAGCTTCTAAGAACTTTAGGCTTCATTACCTTAAAGCGCTTTAGATACCTGTGGAAAGATAAAAATATCATTACAATGGTAGAGTCGTAAAATGTTTCCAATTAGCGTTTCTCTATCGCTAATTATTATTTCTCTTATTCAGCATCAGCTGAAAACACCATTTATACATAAATATACATAAAAAATAACTGTAGAGAAATTCTTTAGAAACTGATGCTCACGTTTTTAGTGTCCCTGAGGTCATTAGCTCTGTCACCAGAACGATGCACTTCTTCCCTTTCAACGGTGATTCCCAGAAGTCATAAAATCTAACAATATTGGGGTGCTGAAGAGCCTTTAACATCTCTGCCTCTTCTTTGAACCTCTGTCTCTCAGCTTTGGACAGTTTCCTTTCCTGGGGAAAATTGAAAAATACTTTTTTTTAAAGAAATTAGAAATAATGAATTCCAGGTCTGCCCACTTGTTGTGTTTCAGTATTCTGGAGTGTTATCGGAGACAACGCCCAAGGAGTAATTTACAGTTTGAGGGGTGGTGGAGGAGGAAGGAGCAGTTGAACCCTGTCATTTTCAGTGTTTTTCTTGCAAAAAGATAGAATCACATTTCAGCCTCATTTAAAAGGTCTGCTGCAGGAACTCTGTCAGTATTGGCTGTGGTTTATGTTTAGAGTGAACGCACCCTCTGTATTTTGGTATTTTGAGCGGTACTATGCATAAAACACACAACTGAGTAGAGTTTCTTTTCAGAAGACAGATGAGTACATGCCTTATTTAATCTGGCGTTGTGATATAGAGACAGACAACTGTCATGGCAGATAAACATGAAACCTTTTAAATCTGTAAATATCAAATGTGTGGCTTCTAAATAATAGAAGAAAAATGAAATTGTGAATTCAAATGAAGTAAGAGTTTATAATGGCAAGCAGCAAATAAAATGTTTCCATACAAAAAGGCCAAAACCTCAAAAAATCTCTATCTTTGATGTATTTACTGTATATATTTCTGCACAGCCTGAGTGGGTCTGTGTATACCGGGTCGATATTTTGGCCCTTGCTTTCCCTGAGCTGTTGTATAAATAGTAAAAGAGCTGACAGTGAACATCCTCTACATTTCTGTCTTTCTCCAGTCAGCATGCCACAACAAATCTCTAGATGTCCTCTCCTGTTTTCTTCATAGATACTTTGTAATGGGAACAATGAGGGTGCATTTAGTCTTTGGGATGCACAATACTGCATATATTTTGGCAATGATTATTGACTGACAGGGAATCAGATTTCCTTCACAGCCCACAGTGACTTATGCAGGGCGCAGCCTAATGCACCATAGAATAGGAGCAGCATTGTGGAGGATGTTCCTGATTTACTTCATAAATGTGATTCTTTTTCAGAATGAATGTAGTTCACTTTGCCCCATGCATCTCTCTGTCCATACTGCCCCTTCTCATATTTCTGAGAAGTTTACGAATAGAATATTAAAGAAGCTATGCCGAGGTAAAATCTAAGCAGGGTGTGGCCCTTACAACCCCAAATCTGCTTTGCTGAGGTTTAATTTTACACAATAAAAACCATGTTAGCAGCACTAATATTTGTATCTGTGGGGCCAGTAAAAGGCTAGAACTCTTTATTTTGCTGTGTTTCAATTAATACATGTCTTACACACTGTTCTTAGCTGAACCCACCCTTTCCCTCTCTCCTCCCTCTCTGTCCTGGTGCAGAGGGCTGCATCAGCAGGATTCACTCTCCAGACGCATCTGTGTGTAATACCATAGGGGTATAAATCCATAGTTTAGTATGTATTACTACGCCATCATACAGGACACATAATGATGTACAACAGAGAGACAAATCACAAAGTGGCATAGTGTTTGAGCAAGTAAGAAACAAGACTAACCATGAACCTGCTGGCCTTTACACCTGGTTTATCAATTTTTCCCTGAGCATCTGGATTTCTGCTGTCTCACTCTTATTTCTACCCTCAAACACACTGTATACAGACATACTGTATAAAGAGAGAGCATGAGTGTTACAGCAGCTTTCTGTAAATGAGCCACACAGGCACAGATGTTCTGAAGGGCAAGGCCTTACCTCTGGGGACAGAAAGGTTGAATCATCCCTAGCTCTCCCCTAAGAACCTGCTCAGACACACAAATACACACACATGCATACTGTGCATCTACATGTGCTGTAGAAATTATTACATGATACATGTCTTTCCTGATAGACATTCAAAAAGTACTATTCTTCTTTAAATTCCTGTAAATATTGTAGAAGTGTTAAAAATATAAGTGGTTGGTTTCTGTCCAAATAGGTGACAAGAAATACTGAAAACACTTCAGGCACATTTAAATTCCTTTATAATGTTTATTGTACTATTCCAATATGAGCGACACTGTGTAAGCTACTCTTATTCAGTACAAGTTACAAAAGTCTGGGATGTCACCAGGGCCCTTAGTTTATATTACCCTTAGCCTTGTTGAGGTCTGTCTCCTCCACTGCATCAGAGGCATACAGTGGAGGAGACAGACCTCAACCGGGTTACATAACTCGGTGCACAATCAATTGAGGACTAGCCTTTGTTGACTGCTGGAAGAACTGATTGATGTTTCACATCCAAATGAGCCTCATTATGTGTATATAATGGTGCTAACATCAAACAGAACGAGACAAATCCCAGTTCTGTTGCTTACGTCAGTGAAATTTAGATGTGTATTGCTGCCGATGGGAGCTTGGAGACAAGCACAACAGTGCTTTAGTTCTATGTCTAAACCCGATTGAGTTGAGCTGTTATTTTTATTACTCATTCCGGCAGGCCTGACAGGGTGAACCTGGATTCTGCTATGGTAGGCAAAAAAGCATCAGCTCTGTTCACCCTGAAGCTCAGTTAAATCCATAAAGTCTCGCTGCAGGGCTTTGACTCACAAATTGTATTATTATCAGAACTGAATGTAAATTAAAGGGCCATAAAATGATGTTGAGATGCTGACTTGGCAAGAAACCGCTTAATTATTTGGCCACTACAAACTATCTAAACTGCAGTATACAAGTACTGTACCAGCCAGTGCATTGACTAAAACAACACAAAACAAGCAGCTTCTATAAGTTTGGTACACATTTTTTTTCAAGCAAAAAAACAGGTTGATTATATACTTAATATAGTAAAGGCAGTACAGTGAACATGTCATTCCATGGATTCATAAGAAAAAATGTATTTCATACATTCCCAGGACAATAGGAATAAAGTAAAAATGTATGAAATGCTGGCTGCCATATCCATTTACTAAAAACTGAAAAAAATGTTCAAAATATTCAACTTAAAAGAGAGAAGAGAAACTAGCTTTGTTCAAATTTAAGTCTGTTTCCACAATATTGGTTTAAAAACAAGTGGCTGCACCTCTGTTTTCCATAGTATAAATCAGAATGTAAATGTAGTTATTCTCATGGCAATGTAATACATTTAGTGTTTCCAAATGTAACCCTCTTGCAGTAATTTGTTGTGAGATTGCAAAAGCATGCATTTTGAGCCTAGGAGGGGAAATGCTGTCTACAGGTAGGTCTACAGGCTGATCTGTATATCACATGGATTGTGGCTCAACTGATCATCACATATCACATACACAGATTAGTGATACAGAAAGCTGTAGCAGTTATGAAGCTATGTGTCTGCTGTATGATAACCCCGGCTAGAACAAATCTTACAATTCCAACAAATTAAAGTGCCATTCAGTTTATCTGCTGATTGTAAATAAAGGGCTTAATCAAATGCGAGAGCAAAGGGTTTCAGTTCAAATCAAGTCAAGGAAGCACACACAGGACAAAAAATACAGACTTCATTGTTATGTCTTTCTAAACTACTGAGATAACAGAACCCTCTCATGTTTTTAACCAAGTCTGGAAATGATCAGCTCAGCTGTAAACTTCATTATGACAACATTTAGGCAATAATTAGAGGGGGAAAATCCACATGAATGATGGACAGTTTCTATCTCTTCAAGCCATCTCATCACAGCACTTTAGCAATATGAAGTTATAAAAGCTTAGAACAGAAATAATTTTTCGATAAAAATCCTATGAATAATAAAGTAGGTAACACAAATGCCTGTTAACTGCAGACTAGTTAGTTTTACCCTGAAGAGCAAAAAATACATGGAATATCCTGATATCAACCCACTGACCTCAAGGGTTTTTTTAGATATAATCTGGTACATCTCTAGGTGGCTAGTTTAGCTGGGACCCATACTTTCTCAGGCTGTTCACTCAAAGGATGCTCTGGACAGTCAAACAGGCCAGATGTGGCCTATACAGGCTTTTGTTGGCTTATTGGAATTGGACTTAAATGATCACTGAACCCACCTGCAGTTCACACCATGCCACTTCCACCCAGGTTTCGGTGTCAAGACCTTTAAAGACCGTCTTGAAGGACCCTCTCCCTAGCTCAATGTCAAACTTGAGAAACCGCCCCCCAGGTGAGGTGGACACAGCCTTCAGCCCGGGCTCCTCTTCGTTCTCGTCACTTCCTGCTTTACCTGTGACATCCGAGGGCACAACCTCTGCCTTGGGTTCCCTGTCGCTCCTGTCTTCCTTCTCCTCATTGGTGCTGACGCCCTCTGTGGCGCTGTCCTTTAGCCCTATTTGGCTCTCGGTGCTGGAAGTCTCCTGGAGGCCCAGACGGGCTCCTTGCAGAACCCGGGTCCGATTCCGGTCAAGGAGGGAACGCAAATCAATATTGAGCGCAGGGCTGCTACTGACACACTCCGGCGTATCCAACGGCTGCTCCTCGGAGTCTGACACCCACAAACTCCGTCGGACGAATCTCTGGCGGGCCCGTGCCCGGTACTCTGTGGAGGGATATGCGCTAGGGTCACTGGATCCTCGCAAGGCAGCGTTGTGTATGGTGACATTGTGGTCTGTCCCATTCTCATAAATAGGCCTGCAGGCATTCGCATTAATGTCCGACTCTAAGTTGGGTGCTGAGGAAAATGTGGATCCCAGTGGTGGATCTTTGCTTGAATTGTCCGCCGAATTCATCCCTGGTGAACTGTTAAACACTTACCGGCGACATTGTGTAAGGAGGTTAATGCGCCTCTCCCGGTGGTGGGAGAGTTTGCTCTCTACCTGCAACACTCGCATTCAGTGACGCAGTTCGCCAGTTCAGGGTGTATGGCCTTATGGATTTGTTTAGGACACAGAGCATCCCCACAAAATGTCCTGCTCGAGTGATGCGTGCATTGTTCCTTCACGCCGCGGTCCACCTTCCTGCAGTACACAGAGTTATTCAAGTTAATCCTAATGTCATTGCCAGGTCAACCTATGAGCTCACAAAACACTTTCCTCCATGCTGCATAGGCCAAGTGTGTGCTCCAGCGCATACTATAAAAATGTGACTTGTTCCGCAGACAATTCACCGGCCTACAGCGCGCTGTGCCACGCACTAATCCTTTCAAGACACATCACGGGAAGACCAAGTGCGCAGCTGTCATCCGCTGTGAACGCTTATCGACCCAGGTTTTGGTTGATGCAAATAAATAGGAGGCGTTCTGGGTGAAAATCTGAATCAACTCTGAGAAATATGACCTCAGCACCTCAGAGCTGACCATTTAACTGTCCGCACGTAGCCTACTTTTTTGTCTCCAGGATGGTGTCCTGGAGCGGAGAGCAGGATGGACAAAAGCGCTTATCAGATTATGCTCACTGCGGCACAGTTTCGCTCAGTTTGGAGCAGGCGGCTGTCAGCGCATCACTCGTCCAGCTGATACAACTGCTGTCTTCTTGAATTTCATCTCTTTCAGGTTTGAGGAAACTAGACATTTTCACGGCACAACCCACGCTCCTAGCAACAACACGTATCCAATGACTCGGCACGCTTTTAGGCGGCACCCTCAGCCTCCGCTGACACAGGCTGTGTGGACCTCACCATGTCCGCCCTCATCGTGACGCGCTAAGCCTCCAATGGGAAGATGATTGTTAAGGCCTACCAACCAAAAGGGACGCTGCTTGGGCTCCCGGAAAAGATGCACCGGTCCCCATTTAATGCTACTCTTCCACAAACACCTTGAGGCTATACGAATTAGTACATTGTAAATGTTGCACAATAACTGCAGCCACAGCAGAAGCCCGTGTCCATGTGAGCTATAAAAAGGCCTACCTTCAAATCTTGAACAGCATTCAGATATACAGTATATTAAATAAGTCTATTTACAATAAAAAGCGATATCAACATACTGTAGATTGCCACATTTACTAATACATGTCTTGTGTTTTTGTAACAGTTTAGTATAAGTTCACATAAAGGTTTTATAAAGCCATTGCATGCTGACCTTCTATAGATGTAACAGAAAATATCGTACAAATTATATTTTCTAATTCTAATAAGACTATTTCCTCTCAGCATGATTTTTAGCTAACCTTCACAGTTGCTTTAGTAACATAGCAGCCTACCATGACTACATGCAGGAGTTTTTCTAAAGTATCAAACACAGTAAAAACATCACTGGACTTTTGTTCGAGTTGTTTTATTTATAAAGATCTTCTGGTTTGAGATAAAGCTATGGTGTGATTTGTCACTGTCATCTTCCAACACAATCATTTATTTTATAATATCCTCTATGTTGGAATTGTGTAATTATTTACATTACTGACTACTTTTCCCCACAAAATTTAATTACTTTTGATGACTGGATTATCAAGTGGACAAAGTGGGAAGACTCCCAGAGGCCCAGAATGACTCATGCATTAATGAGTCTGTCATCGTTTATTTATAGTAATCCTGTTTGGTAATATGAACCAAACTTCCACCGCCGGCTAAAACAGTTGAAATATTAAATGTAATGAACAATAATGGATCACTAATTAATAAAACAATAAAATTTTGGGTCTTCATTCATGTGAAATGTGCCACTGTGTGTATTGCTACTACGATTGTACTGTTAGCCTACTTAAGTAACATTTTGAGTACAGGACTTTTACTTGTAACAGAGTATTTTTACACTGTTATTGCTAATTCTACCCACGAAAACAATGTGTTTCTTCCACCATTATGACAATCTATACTTTGTCCAACGTGCAATAATGCATGGAGCCGCACGGTGGCAGTAAAGAGTCAGGCTGCAGTCCACACTAAAGCGCTGCACTGCCTGAGCTTCTGCATGGCCTCTTGATTTCAGTTTCGCTAGTGTAGGAAAAGTCCCGCTAGCTTGCAGCCTGTGGTGCTCACTTCTCCTATCAGTCTTTCGGTCTCTCAGACGACAGCCTCCGTGTGTCGAGGGGCGGTAGTTTGGAGTATCCACTGTCGTCGTCACCGCTCTTTATATACCGCCTATGCCAGCCGGCCGGACCTCCGACTTTTTCTGCACTAACTTATACATGACCAACTTATTTCGGGTATAACGAGGTTTATTCACGAGATGGCATCGGAAAACATGGAAATGAACGGCGGCGATGAGGTAAGGCGGCACTGGTGTCCGTTACGACGAGGAAATTACTAGCTTGTTAGTAGGAGGCAGCGCCAATGTCAGTGCCAGGCGCTGACAAGGGTGAATTCCGCCAACGACCTCCCGGTCGATGTATGAGATATTCGTCAGTACACAGGGAATGTTTACCCAGCGGGGTTTCACCCATCTGTCTCATACACTCTGGCATCCTTACGCTGTGTGATGTTAATGTAATTTCGATTATTTTTAAGATATCCATTTAGCGGCAGCAGCTCCGCTTCGGGTTAGATCCGAGTTGAAGGCTAATTTGATAATTTCACTCATTTACTTTGTTGTGAGAGGAGTCTGGCTCCGTAGTCCTGCTGTTTTCTACAGAGGCTGTTTACACATAATGACCGTGTAGCTGCAGTACAACCACTGGCCCGTAAAGGATTCCAGTGTCCCGAATCAGGCATTTAACGGGTTAAAGCTTGTCCCCATTCATAATACTGAACATCTCTGTCCCAGTGCCTGTACTCTTGGAACAGGTTTGTCCAATAGATCTGAGTTATTCAACAAATAAAAACCCAAGTACAACTTATCTATCAACAGTAATAAGTAGTAACAACGTAGATTTTTAGATTGAAATGATCTAAACTTTAACTGGCAAAAGGACTTAATGATAATCCTTCAAATGAGAAGTGGTGACTGCAGTAAAACTTCTATTTGGGAAGTGGGGTCAACAAAAAGTATTTGGGAATCGTAGACTAGATAATGAACTTCGATTGAAAATTGGGGGAACTAATATAGAACAAGTATATGAAATCAAATTTCTAGGTGTCATAGTTTTGTTATAGGTTAGAAAATGGATCCCTGCAGCAGGGAAGTGCTTGTTACGTTGTATAGTATTTGGGATTTTGGCTTTATAGACGTTGCTGCTTTAACTGACTGATAAGACGTCTGTGTTTATGTATAAAGCCAGGAACAATTTATTACCTGGTGGAATTCAAAAACTATTTAATGAAAGGGAAGGGGGATACAATTTAAGGGGTCAGTTAAATTTAAAAATTCATGCTATACGTACAACCAAAAAAAGATTTTGTATTTCCATAAGTGGGGTAAAACTATGGATTAATTTAAATTTGGACATAAAAAATAGTACTAGAATTGATTAGTTTAAACATAAATATAAAGGTATGTGTCAATCAAGATACATGCAAGAACAGGTTTAATGATTAATCAGATGGAACATTGTGGGTGTGGTGTATGAATGTTAACACTATGTAATAATTCTGTACTATATTTCTTGTGTGGTGTAGAAGATAATTACTTATGTAGAGATATTGCTTAGGACTTAAAAGTTGTAAAATGATGTCATGGGGTAGGACTAGATAAGTCTAACTTCTTCCTACTCCATTCAAGCATGTACTAGGTATTAGTAAATTGATAGTGGATTATTATTGTTGGATATGTGTGAAATTACATGTGTTGACATATCAACTGTTTTACATGCTTGAATGAATAAATCAAAACAAAATCAAATAAAAAAAAATCAATCAAAATAAGCAATCTAATGTCACTATAGATTGTTAATAACAATAGTAAAGTTAGTCTCCATCTCTGCATTGTTAGGAAGATGATCATGGTAGCAAGCTGTAAATGATTAGCAAAGTTAATAGTGACATATAATAACATCACCATAAACACATATAATATATTGTACAGCTTATAGTGTGACAAATCCTTTGTCGCTTAGACAACAATTTACACATAAGGTTAAGTTTAGTTGCAAAACCCAATATGAGATATAGTTTCTCAGTGGAGATAAAGAAGCACATTATCTTGTTTTTCTAATTCAGTGGCAGATCACCATGCTTTGGAAAGCTTGGGGTATAGGAGCTGTACCGGTAGTTACAAATCACAGTTCAAGAATAGCGAGTGTGTATAATGGGCAACTCTCATAATCATCTGCTGGTCAACCACAAGAGCATCTTTTTCCGCTGTGACTTGGCAGGTCTTCAGAGGTGAAGAGAGGGGAACCAGCTCAGTGTATGTTGTTGCCAACAAGTGTGACATTGTTGGACTACACTCCACCCATTTGAGACCCCGAGCACTACACTAAACCCAATGGGGGTCTCTGCTTTGTCGCTGGGTTTCTGTAATGTTTACTCCGTGTTCTTAAATCTACCATTTACTATACGGGTATGTTTTTGTCACTTGTAAGAAACAGAAAACAACTTCTGCCTGCGCTGTTCCACAAAAAGGAAGTTAGCTGATTCCTTGACAGAACCTCTTCCTCTCGTCAGCATTAATATGCCAGGAAATTCGGCTTCCTACAAAATGACATACTTCATATTTAGTTTAATAAATAATACAGACTGTTTCACAATAATCTAATAATAACATTTGTGATATTTTTTTATTTCCACTATGATTAGTGGGTGTTTGTCATCTTTGTAACGTCCATACAATAAGTGTCTTCGCTCACTTTTTCCACTGTATTTGGGTGGAGGCCATTTCATCCTTTTTGTGTTTGTAATGTATGACCTGGTCAGCTAAAATAAAGGACTTTGCACAATATTTATGACCTCAGGACCGAAACCAGCTGAGTGCCTTGTCATGAGTTACAGCTTTCCCGTGTGAACACTTTCATTTCTGTTAACATCTTTGTGTTTAGAACTTAGTTTTTGACACAGTGTACAGGCCAGGTGGTTCAGACTGTGCCACTGAAAAGGTCTAATCTAATGTGTTTTTTTAAAATAAGTGCCCAGGTCAGTCTTGAAAAAGAGACGTTATCTCAGTGAGGCTTCACTTGGTTAAATAAAAGATTAAAAAACATTTTTATTTTGTTGTTCCGAAACACAAACAGTTGAACTAAAAAAGTGATTCAGTCACAGCGTGGTAGTTAAATGATACGTTCCTCATAAACTTGTGAATTTAGATAATCCTTTAGACTGTTATTGTGTTGGACTGTTAGCTTTGATGGGAAAAAAATTCCCTGCTTGTGCTGACGCACCTCTGTAATTTGTGGAGCCAAGTGGGAGATTTTAGAACAAGAAATCCCCACATTTCAAGCCACACAATGGAGTTTCTTAAAAAGAAAATGGTACTTCCCATTTCGCCAGTTTCATATTTATATGAAATGTGGTAATGTTTTCCATATTAAAGTAACTTTGTAAATGCTATGATTACTCAAGTTTCAGCATTTGGTGAAAGTGAAAATGGATTGTTTCAGTTTTGTATCACAGCATTAAGAGTGATTTTTAGGTGTATGTAGATGAGGCTAACAAAATGAGTGATATCTGATGATTATATTTGTAATGTTTTGGAATCAACCATGACAGAACCATTAACAGAAAAATCAATATCAATCTGAAATCCTCACCTAACTAAAAGTGGATTCTCAGGCTCTTGGTCCAGCACTGATGGGTTTGTGTTTTGTTCAGGTTGCGCTGCGAGGCCGGCCGAGGAGGCTACAGGGACCCCTGAACATGAACCACTACGCCAATAAGAAGAGTGCAGCAGAGAGCATGCTGGATGTGGCTCTGCTAATGGCTAACGCCTCCCAGCTGCAGGCTGTGCTGGCGGAAGGACCAGAGTTCCCCTACTACACGGTCCTCATTACAATGATTAGCATCTCTCTCATCCTACAAATCCTGGTGGGAATCCTGCTCATCTTCATAGGTAAGTTTGGAAGTCACTTCCCAATTTCTCCTTGGCAAACCCTGTTATTGGGTTGTTAGCATTTACACATCAAAAGATTTATGGAAAAGTCAAATCACTTTATTTATTTAGCCCAAAATCCCAACTTATCTGTACACCCTCTGTTTAACACTAAGAAATACTGATATAGGTGTATTGTTAATGCCCTCCACTGCACAAAAATAAATTTGTTTTATGTATAAAGTGATAAAGAAATATGATCATTTAAGGCCGGGAACCAACCCCCGGTCCGTGGATCATTTGGTACCGGGCCGCAAAGAAAAAATTTTGTGTTTTAAATTAGTTATTTTTCTTTCATTATTCTTAGTTTGAAAAACGACTGTTTGCGCCCTTGCCTCACTACCGCACTTGACTCTGGCACGCCATTTTACACATCAGCGACATAAGCTAACCCTTTAAAAAAAAGTGGTCCCTGGTACAAAAAAGGTTGGGGACTGCTGATTTAAAGGGACTAACCCTTGTTTCCAAACTAGTTAGTAACAACGTTACAGTAAAACAAGGTTATACAGTGATTCAAAAAGAATAGTTTTTGTGTACATCTAAGTACACATTCAAAGAAAACAACTGTGAAACGCAGTACGCAAAGCTTGCACACTGTGCGTGAAACTCAGATTACACACAGCTGCATGAACAAACACTTAAGTTACAATGTAGGTTTGTGGCACAGCTTTTACTGCCAAAACTCATACTTGTAATAATGTGTGTGCTCGTGTAAATTCAGTGTCACATGCATTATGAAAATACAACTGACAAGCACTCTCAGGTTGTACTCGCATGTTCACAAAAGCAGTTAATCTTTTGTGGGGTGCAGAAAAGCAGAACTCCTCTGTTAATACCATTTATACATACATTATATTTAGACTGTTAGCTTTCTCTACAACTGCAAATGACAAATGTACAAACTTGAATTTCCTATCTCATGCAGGTTTAAAAACTACAGCCCTTGAAATCATCTATGCAAATCAAGTTGAAAATCACATTTGGCCACATAAAGCTTTTTTTGTCTGTATAAATTGCTAATATATTAAAGTGGTAAATTGGAAGGCTCTGCCCCTCTGCCCATGTCCTTATCTCGCCCTAGCAGAAAACACTACAGAGTTGAGTTTAGAGTCCACAGCAGGAAGAAACGCCTGTCAAGTCTCCTCTGTTATCAGGTGTTTTCACTTTAAAAGAACTCTCTTCAGTACAAGGAAAATAGATGAAGTAATAGGAGACTTCCAAATACTAAGATGATGCATAGAAAAGCAGAACTGAAAAAGATTCTCTCATCTCAGGCCAGCGAAGGATGTAATGCCCTAATGGAGGAATGCTAATGATTCACCTAGTGCTTTTAATATATGTTATAATCTTCAGTAATGATTAATTTACTGCTATTGTGACAGGAAACACTGCTTCACCCCCTTCTGGGGAAAGGTCACCTCTACTATGAAAAACTAAAAACATTCTCCTGTGTAATTTTTCTCTCACCAGTTAAGTGGAATCTAAATGACGAAGCAATGCACTACAGGCTGAACATCATGGAGAACGTCGCCACGTCCTTTGTCTTTATCATAGTTGTAGTCAACATCTTCATCACAGCCTTTGGCGTCCAGCGGCCTGTCTCGAAAGATTGATCGCCTTTTTTATATATATATAGACAGGATATTTATTCCCCAAAGCCAAAGGTATACAGGTACATTGGCTATTCTGTAATTCAACCTCTCAGGCTTGAGGAAACCCATTGTACTCTGAGGATCAAGTGACACTGCCTGGCGTGTGAGAGAAGGGTTTCTGATCAGGTGTTATTTTACGTGGCACTTCACTTTTTTCTTACCTCTTATTATGCTCAGGTTACTGATGCAAACACATATTTGTCTATACTTATAACACAAACATATCAGGAGCACCAAACTGTGTATCAGTCACTATTGTGACCGACTACTGTGAATGTTTCCTGAAAAAAAGACTACTGTTATTTTTAAGTTTGACAAGACATTCACCATAGCAAAATCAAAGTAAGTCATAACTGAATGCAGCAGGAAGCATTTTAGTCAACTGCTGCACATGATGCCTTACATTTTTATTATGGGGGTAAATGTACGGTTGACGGTGCTTTAAACCAAATGATTTAGTAGACCTTACATGGTTTTTGCAAAGTCTATTGTGAATGTTTAAATTGATTTATATGCATATATTATCTTATGACCATGTCTGCCCATAAGTATATAGTGTATGTTGTTACTTTTATCACTTTTTTAAAGGGTCAAACATTTTCTTAGCCTTTACTATACATTCTGTGACCACTATTTTAAACTGAATTTATAAATAAAACTACAATAAGATGTGTTATTTTCCTGTTTATTATTATCATACATTGTTCTTTATTGTTCAAAAACAAATGTCGCAATCATACAAATGAGGGCACTCAGAAATGTAAGGCATTTTTGCACAACACAGTGCACACAAAATGTGGACCTCAGTAAGTAGACAAGTGGCAGTCACCAGAAATCAAACAGTACAAGCAATAACAACAAAGCCTTGCTTAATGTAAAAACACTTCCAGGTGCTTCTGATGTTGGCTTTTAAAGTCCTGAAGATTAACCTCCAACCTCCATATCACAGAAAGACAAAGCACCATTGTGAGAGGCACTTCTGTTTAAAAGCCTTTCTCTGTGGTATGCATGTTAATTTAATTGTGTATTGACAGCCTGAGAAATACCACATTTTTAAGGTACATTCATTTACTACCACTCTTTGTATCAGAAACTAACATATATATATAGTCAGCAAAAGGCAACATAAACAATATCAATAATTGTGGAATGCAACTTACATACCGAGCTTCCTCTTTCTCAGAGACACACTCCTAACCAAATATAAAATATCAGCAATTCTTTGTGTAGTCAACAGTGGGCTAAATGCTATTACAGGCCAAAAGGAAAAACGTTTTCCTGTACGCACCCAGCGGAAACAGATACGCAAAACATTTGGGCATACTTCCAGCCCTAAAGAACACAGTGATAACAGGAGACGTAAATATAAAGTTAAGAGAAACCAAGAAATTTATTTAAAAAAAAAGTTTATGACTTTAGAGATTCAAAAAAACATGGTTAGAGATGCCACGAAGTAAGTGGCAATAAAAAACATGGTTAGAGATGCCACGAAGTAGGTGGCAATGCCTTAACCGTATGCGTGTTGCAGGCCACAAGGGCCACTTCCATCCTTGTCAAGGGGAGTGCTAACCTTCTCTCCTTTCATACAACACAACCCTCGCACCACAACTGTGGCTTTATATATGCGGAAAAGTACGTCATAGTTTTACTTATGGTGCAAGGTCAAGACTTATAAATATTACATCTACAAGGTATAACGCTTTTATTGTGCATATAAACGCGGTCATTGTGTTTGCGCTTTATTAATACGACTCCTTATTCGATATTTGTATATTTTGTTTCGAAGTATCGCTACCAATAATGCACTGCGCTGGTAGAGCGGACTATCATTGGTTGAAGAAATCACGTGATTGCAAACCTCGCTAAGGCACTATAAAACGTATAAAATTAAATTACTGCCATTTTGATCTCGCTCGATAATATTTAGAACCATTTTTCGTATAAATATGAAGAGCAGGATTTCAGAACGCTCTTGTGACAACAACAAGCTGTATTGTCCCTAACTTTAGCCCTGCAGTTCCTCTTTGGACCGCAAGATGGCAGACATGTCCCAGTCAGGTTGACTGTAAGATGTTGTTTCTGACTGAAATTATTTTACTGTACTGGAAGTCAGTGTTGACTGAGCATATAAAGCAGCATAAAGTTTCATGACCTAAATTAATGTACAGGGTTCAGCAAACTGTAAAAATATTTAAACTGTTATCTGAACCAAATTCCGGCAGAAAATGAATCTATTAACACCTTTAACTAATTAATTGGAGGCTTATTCTTTTTGTAAAGACATATAATACAATTGTCCTATAATGGACTTCCCAGTGCTTTCCCATGAACTCATTTAAGTAGACATAAACAAGAGAAAATAGGGGCAAAGTGCCAAATGGCCAAATATAACTCTAAATGTGTCTCATCTCTGGGGTCTGGTTTCAGATCACAAACAACATATCCACTGTGTATAAAATTAGTATTGAACCCATGCAAAGGTTTAGTGTGCTGTGCTTTGGTACAGAAAGCATTCATCAAAGCAGTACTGCTGGTGTGTAGGAGTCACCCTCTACTTCACAAGGCTTTCTTCAGTGTACCATATAAGAACCTCCTGAGCTTTTTTTTTCAGACCCAGAGCAGCCATCCCTAGGGCCCGGCTGCCTCCCGTCACCTTAGATTCTACAAAAAAAAAAAAAAAATGCTTTCTTAGTAACACTGAGTGTTACAGCTTGAAGTGGAATTACATTCTCAATGACATGCATAGACACACAATAGTTTATACACATTAACTGATTATCACAACTCCACTGTCAGATGATGTTAAAAACCTAGAAAACAACTTACCGCTGTAGTAATAGAGTAAACCCATTCCCACTGCAAGGCTGAAACAGCCCAGAAAGAAGAGGGGACCTGGAGAGATGTACACACCTCACTATGTAAATGTAACTAATGAACTGGTGTGGTTGTTTGTGCTAAATAACTGCCTGACATGCTTATAGCCTGAAAAAAGGCTTAAGTCATACATGCTCCTATTTCTGAAGGGTATCACTAAGTCATCTGCTGATTCCATTCTTTAAAAAAAGTTCCATTTTATTATTTTAGTTCAAAATATTGAGCTGTTTCATATAGTATGAACAGATGGACTGTTTCAACATTTCACACTAACATGCATTGTCTGTTTTACTTTCACATCTCACCTCTGTCATTCAGAACATGTCTCTGTCGGTAGACTCGTGAATGTGTGAGTGGATCCAAGGAATCTGGAGGCAGAACAAATTACTTTAGTGTGCAAAATAAAAAGTGTACACACCTAAATATGTATAATGTACAAATAATGATGAGCATCTCACTGGCATCACACATGACATGACAAAGAAGTTTTTAGCAGCCTACCTCTGAGGCGAAGCCGTGTTGGCAGGCTGTAATATACCTCTTCTACATGCAAGTGCAGAGCCCTGTAAAACTCCCTGCATGCATCATCGCCTTTTCCCTGGAGATGTGTCAAGAGCTCACCCAGTCGAACACTAGTGGGCACATCCACGTTTCTGAACTGGATAAAAATGACAGCAATTATGAGGCTATTCTGATGCCCATGTAGAAATATTTGCCATATCCAGATACTCTAAGTGGATTGCCCAGGTCAGAATAAAGCAAGTCTACTGGAATTCTTCTAGAAATTATTTCATTTATTCACAGTAAAGTGCTGTTTCCTTGTGTTTTTCATATTGACTTGTTGCTTATTTAAGATATTATTTAATTTTTTAACCACAGCCTACAACATTAATAAACATATTAGGTGTTTGTTAATAATTTTATCATAGAAAAATGATTTATAAGTTTTTCCAGTGTTGGAGCATATCTGAATTACTCAACTTACTGTCCTTACAATTAACCAGTTTTAAGCAATTTTACTTTCCTTAAGTATTTTAGTTTCTAATATGCTATAATTGGCAATACAACATTGAGAGGGGTCATTCTGATGCATAAGTACATTTTGAAGATAGTACTGTATTTGACAATAATTTAATGCAATGCCTTTACTTACAATGAGGTATTTGTCCATTGTGGCATTATTTTCGCATAATGTGCTCCAACACTGCCATCACATTGAAGCACTTTGTGGATGAGGACCTACCTTGGTGGCCTCCTTGTCTGTGAGTATCTGCGGGTAGATTCTGTTGAGCTGCAGGATGAGTTTGTCCACCAGCTCTGTGTCCAGTCTCCAGTCAGCTTTGAGGAAAGCGCAGTCCTCTATCAGCTGCTCTCGAAAACTGTCTGTTCGTATTCCAAGAGAGAGGTTTAAAAATACTTTGTACATTAGCACCAGCTTTTGTCTATGGACTGGGTGTTAACAGATGAACTTTTTAATTGGACGGAGACGTCATTTTGCGGTTAGTAGTCTACTCCGCCACAGAATGGAGTTTAGCAAGGTTACTGACTGAACGGTAAAGTGTTATCGCCGTCTTTTCTCGTAACTGTGGCAGCAGAGGTTTATAAGAGCATGGACTGGGAATGCTACAAAACCAAAAACACTTAATGAGCATTTTCTGTGCTGACAGAAAACTGGGCGTGTGGTGAAACTTTACAGAAACCTCAACCTGGTATGAGACGGTACAGTCATTGACAAAGCGAGCCATCCTCTCAAGTTAGTCGTTAGTGCAGTGATAATGTTCGTAGATTGGACCAAATTGGAAAGTATTACAGCGAAACTGAAGGTTAACTAGGTTACATGGTAAAATGAACATTTAACCACAATTACTGTAACTGAAGACACAAACCTCCCATTCTGAAGTCTCCAAATGTCCTTTGGCAAGACACGCCCTCTGACGTCACCGCGCTGGAACGTCAACATTTTCATAAAACCTTTTCACCGGAAATAGAAATGTTTCGATTGAGCCTTGTAAACATTCTTATACAAATACACTTTTTTATTTATTTCAAGTAAAACTGAGTATTTCCGTTGTAACCAAGAGTAGATGTAACTAAAACCTAATGTAACAACTTTTTTTCTTGTAAGTATAGTTTATATAGCTTAACATAAACAAAACGTATTTTCTCCTAGTCTGCTTTAGGACTAAACTAAAAACTTTAACCTACTGTCTACGGTCTAAATAGTATTATGCATGAAACCTATATTATTGGATTATTTCTTGATATATTTCATAAAAGTTTGAAAATTTTATGTAAAGTAATACACCAGGTACAGTGGGTACGGAAAGTATTCAGACCCCCTTAAATTGTTCACTCTTTGTTATTTATTATCAAAGATTTATTAAAAAAGAAAAACTGAAATATCACATGGTCATAAGTATTCAGACCCTTTGCTGTGACACTCATATATTTAACTTAGGTGCTGTCCATTTCTTCTGATCATCCCTGAGATGGTTCTACACCTTCATTTGAGTCCAGCTGTGTTTGATTATACTGATTGGACGTGATTAGGAAAGCCACACACCTGTCTATATAAGACCCTACAGCTCACAGTGCATGTCAGAGCAAATGAGAATCATGAAGTCAAAGGAACTGCCTGAAGAGCTCAGAGA